ACAGCCTAAAGCGATGAGAAAGAGAAACCAGTCTCTTTATTAAAATCATGTTATTGCATTAAGACCTCAGCATTAGTTGGAAATTTGGGGTTTACTCTAATTTTAAAATATAATTTCAAAAATCTTCTACATTTCAAATTTTTTTCTAAATTTAGAAACCTAGAAATCATCATATGCTGTGAAGCATGTTTTCCTCATGTTTCCTAATGCTGACATTACTACGGAAGAGGATTAGGGCCACTGGAAAAAAAAAAAAAGTTAACTGGTTTTAAAATTTTATTTCAGTTTAGTATGGGAAAAAAAAATCAGAATTCTGACTTCTCTCAGAATTCTGACTTTAATCTCGGAATTCTGACGTTTTCTCAGAATTCTGACTGAATTCTGACACTAAAAAAAGTCAGAATTCTGACTTTTTTCCCATACTAAACTGAAATAAAATTTAAAAATCAGTTAACTTGGTTTTGTTTTTTTCAGTGGCCCTAATCCTCTTCCGTACATTACTGATCTTTGATGTTTCTCATTAAGAAATAGTTGAAGTGTGAATGTTATTCGTAGTATTTGTTTGTTCTTTTAAATCTCTGTTATAAGATGTAAATACATAATAAGCTATAATCTCCTAATAGTTTTTGGAGTTTTCATGGATCTTAAGCGTTTGTTAGTTAACAGAAAGGAAGAATTTATCAGTGTATAACATCTTAAGTGGAATGCGGACGGAGACTAACTATTAAGATGCTTCTGTGGATTAAAGAGTTTAATGTTTCCTTCCTCCTTCCTTCTTTTGTTTTTGTTTTCTTTTTTATCAGCAGCGTTACAACTGGAGCGAGCAGCACCTTCGAAATGCTGCCTCTCATTGCATTGCAGTTTAAAAAGATGTTTATGAAGTTGCAACAATATTTGATAAATTTGCATGTATTTTGTGAGGTTTTGAACAAAAATGTAAAAGTTGAGCCTGAGCAGAAAACTTGACATCTGTTGGAGCTGACATTGATTTGATTGGATAAATCATGAGGTTTCACAATTTTTTATTCCCTACCTTCGAAGGTTTTGAAAATTATGATTACATCATGTTATGTAAAGGTACTTAATGAAATCGTTTAAATTAAAGGATTTAGAGAGATTGTTTAAAAGGGTTTCTGTCTAAAATAGGGCTGAAACAATCAGATTAATCATAATTATAATTAATTGATTATTGAAATAATCGTCAATTTATTAATCGATTAATCGTTAACTGGAGTATAAATACTGTAATAAAACTGCTCTTTAGTTGAAAGAGCGACCCACTTAGAGCATAATTATATCTAAATTGTAAAAAATATAAAAAGTTTTTTATGTATTTGTATTTAAGATAAAAAAAAAAAAAAAGTTTATTCTGTCAATATGCTCTATGTAGAAACCCTCAAGTGGAAAAGTTTTAGTTTCACCTGGTTTATTTTTGTTAAAAAAATCTTCTTTAAAGTCGTAGTGAAGTCGTATTTAAATGTCAAATCATTCTGGCTTAAACATGTATGTAAATTTACTCTTTATCAAACGATATCATCCCAAAAGTTGGAAAATTTCTATTTTTAAAGATATCCTGTCTTAAAATCTGTGTTTTATTTTCGTTATCTCCTGCAGGCCAATCATATATCAACGTTCCTAAATTCGGCCAATCATATATCAACGTTCATCTGTCAATCAAATGTTTTCGGTCATAGCATCTTGAAAAGTTTTAGTTTCACCTGGTTTAATTTTGTGAAAAATCTTCTTTAAGGTATTTTTGGCTATCTGAGGATCATTCAATAAAAAAAATAGACAGATTAATAGATTTGCAAAATAATCGTTGGGATCTATAGTTTAAAGATCCCAGCAGAATGGATCCTGTCATTGACTTACAGATTTCCCTCCTCCTGGATGAGAAGGAAGCGACAGTCACTTGCATTTTGTTATAAACTTTGCACAAATCTCTAATATCAAGCATGCATTAAGCAACAGTTGAGAAGAAGAAATCACTTTCAACAGGAAAAAAACCCTTAAATAATGACTTATAAAAAAAGACATATAAAAAAAGGAAAACAAAGGGCAGTAATTTCTCTGTGAGTTTAAAAGGTTAATGCAGCAGCAGCTTAATCTGAGAAAAGCAAAGCTAAGCAGATGAGCTCTGAGTTGGTATTCAAGTCTAGAAGATGAAAGGGAGCACATGCAGGTATTTTCAGTAAAACCTCAGCCAATAGCAACGTCTGTGAGAGAGAGAGAGATGGTGTTAACCACTGAATGACAGGCGACTCTGTACGAGGCCGCGAGCCACAAGAGAAACAGCAGAATTGTATTTGCTTTAAACCTTTGCACATTTTTTGGTTTCACTGATCCACAACTATAGTCTGTTTTCAAATCAATTAGAATTTTGTCTGTGCAGATTCCAGGAGATAACTCTGGAATGCGGAGCTGAATATTTGCTTTAGGCCGTATAGTAAAAGAGAGAGACGAGGAAGTTTTACTTTTCAGTTGCCAGTTGCTGCTTTTGATGTTTTATTTCCTTTCTGGAGTTGGAGAGCGAGAAAGAGTGTGTGCAGGAGAGCTGAAATGCTTTTTGTTTTTTAAAAAGGAAAAAAAAAATCTGCAGATTTTCACAGCAAAGCTCTATTTCCCTTTAAGTCTAAAGAGAAGTGCCTCTTTAACAACTAATCCAAAATGGATGAAGCAAATTCCACCCTGTGGTCATTTACAAGTTATTCACAGAAATTAAATGATCAATGATTCTGACCTTCAGACAAATATTTAAACAATTTTAAAAGCTTATTTATTGATATTTAGAATATAGAATTAGATCGATCTCTGATTAAGAACATTTTTTTATCCATTTAAAGAGACCAAACTGTTTAACAATATTTCCTGACACTGATCAGAGGTTTTTAAATTATACTAGATATATTAAGTCAGCATCATATCAAACAATTTGATATTCTACATTAACTTTGATTATTTTTTTATACCAGCAGTGAAGGCACACCATGAGAGACCTTTGATTAAATAAAACTAACTCATGGTGATGATGTCCCATCATATGTCCTTACCAGGCCTTAGAAAAACCGGACCACTGCTCGACACTCAACAGGCTCCATTTTATGACTTGACTCAGTTCAAACTAACCTGACTCCACCAGATGATTTGCTCCGCATATCCATCTGGAAACCTTCCGTTGAAGTAATTTTGGGAAGGGGCGAAAATACTGGTTAGCTGATTGGCCTATGTTGG